AAACTAACTATGAGACTGCCAAAGATGGAGAAATTAATCCCATCCACAGTGTGCACAGCAAAGCCAAAGAAATATTTCCACATCATTGCCTTTCCTAGATGCTGAACCTGGTTTTCCAGCTGATGTAAATCCAGATGGTGTAAATCATTATGACTCTGTGGATTTAAGCTAGCCAACAGAATGGCCAAAAGTTTATATGCTAATACTGGTTGTTTTTCTAGGTTGGCAGTTTTTAGGAACTGTGTTGAAATGCTGTTTAAATAAAAAGGGAAACAGCTCATTGCTCATTTAGATTTCTTGGGGGGAAAAAAAAAAAAAAAAAACAGATATAGAAGGTGCTGTAACCTGTTACATGCAGAAATTAAAATGTTGATGAGAATAGATGAAAATCTATTTCCAGCCTTAAAAAATGTCCATGAAAGCAACAGTGGTAGTTAAATACAAATATATATATACTGTGTACAGCATCCACTCCAAATCAAAATATGTTTCCTATATCAAAGAGAGATCTGTTAAAGAATATATTAACCAAAGGCCAAGTCTTTTTTTTCGTAATGAGTCTTGCAGCAAAAATTTCATCAATTAAAGGGAGGAAGCATGGGAAGATCAAATGACTGGGATCGGGAGGGATTTGGGGTGTTAGGGAGAAGGGCTGTGGCATGCCCTCCTCCATTTCTCAGCTTCTTAATAACATTATTTACATTATTTGGGGATGTCTGGCTATTTATTAAAGTGAAGTTGAGTACTTTGGAAGAAAAAAGAGGGAAGTAGTTGTGAGACTGACACAGAAAATTGGGAACAGAGGAAACAGTGAAGAAGGATCTTCAGTCTCTAATAGTTAAATATACATTTTTAAGCTTCTCACCTTTCACAGTTGAAGATGCTACAGTGTTCTGTAAAGTTTCTCTATGTGTCCTGGTTGGAGAAGACAACAGGTGACCAGCACACAGCATATCTGCAAGAAACTGCATATTTTTCTATGGGTCACAGGACAACTCCTTACTCTTACAAGTCTAAACTGACTTCTTTTTCCAATACTGTTATATTATTTTCACGTATTAATAGAATTTAAGGGTCACAGGGGAATATGATGAACATCTTGCCTGAGCTCTCACAATGGCCAAAGGATTCAACCTCATAACTCCTTCATTAGGGCAAACAGTCTCCGATTGAGCAACAGTCAGAGACTTTGAGAAAGCTGTTGGCTTATTCCAATGACTGATATTATAGAGGAAAAAGTTCGTTCGAGCAGACAAAACACTATCCATCATGTTCTGATGTTTATCCAGGGCTTAAAATTATGAGGGAGTGATAGGTGCAACAGATACAGAGCAGCTCTGTTCTTCTCAGAGTATTGTATATTCAGCCAGTATTCATCAGGCTGGAGTCCATTCTGCAGAATCTCTCCCCCTAGCTTCCATATCAGGTAATTCAGTTAATGCTGCCCCAGAAACATACCGAGTCTCTGACATATATATGTTTTAAGGAGACAAGTATAAAATTTCCAACATAAAGAGAAAAATAATATACCAAATGTTGTGGGTTCAAGGTGTGCCATATGGAGTGACTCCAGAAGCATAAGTCATTTGCACTTTTTTGTGTGTGTTTTCCACCAAATGCTGGTGCACCAGTAGCACAAAGAGGGTGATTCCTAGCAGCACTACATGTCCACACATCAAGCTGTCTACATACCTGGAGACAGATGTCTACTGTTTATTAAGCACAACTATGAAGTGATTCAATTCAGAACAGTAACGTTCTGGTGTTGAGGATGGAGGGAGTTGTGAAATGTTTTATTTTAATTTATATGGTGGCAGGGGACCCTGGTAAAAACAATTTATAAATGCTGTAGGTATCCAATGTATTTTTGTCATCTGGTCAACTAAAAGCCATAAATATAGAATAGCACTGTTCAGACAGTGCGTTATACTTCCTTTGCCATTACTCCGGGCAGTTGTGGAGCCCAAGAGCTTTACTGACATGAGAAAGATATCCAAGTTCCCCCAAAGTAGTGCAGTCATCTACTGTTACCACAAGGCATGTGATTTTTCTTTTTTTTCCCCTTTCTTTCCGTATACATTACAACTTTTTAGTTGAAAGAAACTAGGAAAGAACAAAAGACAGAGAAAGCATAGTTCTTGTCTTTAGATGAATTTCAAAATATTCTGGGAGTTCATGAGGTAAAAACTTTCAGCTGTCTTAAGTCTCCACATGTGTCTTGTAAGACTTTCAAAGTCTTGAAGACTTCGTTTCATCTCCCTATAAGTTTCTGGGGGACAAGGAATACCATTGCTTCATCTATTGATTTTATGCAGCATTTTGTGACAGATTTTCATCTCTCTCTAAATCTTGGTCTTCTTATGGCTCCCTTCATGATAATGTTTTAGCTCATCACTGTCTTCATCTTCATTTCATATGCACAGGATGCAGTCAAAGAGCAGAAGGTAACTGGTGTTGAATCTCTCAGGATACCTCATTCAGCAAGGTGCTGGATCCATCGCTTACAAGTGCCCTAATGAAAAGAGCTCCTTTCATTTCTGCTCAGCCCATGTTCAATAAGATAATGGAAACCACACAATTTGTTCAGTTTCTTTTTCCTCAAAGAAATAATAAGCCAAACAGGAAAAAACATTGTCCCAGTGGATCTGTGAGACAGATAGCTGCTAAGCAGAAGAAATAGCCGCAACAACAAAACTCTGATTTCTGAGGTTCTTCAGTTCTCCAACAAGTATTTTACATTGATTATGTGCCAAGTCATTATTTAGGGAAGCTAAATAATCTGCATTGCAACTTCAAATGGGAGAATCACTGAGGCACCTGCTCTGTGTTTGTCTGATGGAATACAGAAACTTGAAAAGAATAAAAGAAAAAAAAGAGATGTTGGCCCCAGATATTGGCCATCCCCAAAGCATGTGTTTGAGCAATGAGACCATGATAAGAGCCTCTGTGATGTGCTCTGTGGGCTGAGCAAGAGGGAAGGTTTTAATCAGATTTTTCTGCCTTCTCCAACAGATGTGTTGACAATCCATAAGCGTATGGCTCTCATTCACAGGAGTTATTTGCCCCCAAGAGCTTTAATGTAATTTTCAGGCAAACAATTTGCTAGCCCCCATTTCTCTCATTTCTTAAATATATGTGTTTCCTCAAGAGAAAACGATAATAATCCTCTGAAACAGACATGGATGGGATTCAGCCTAGTCATAACCAATCAGATCCTTCAGATTTGAGGTTTATGTACTTCATTTAAATGATCTGCTAATGAACTTGAACAGAAACACAGAGCCATGTTGGTCACAGGGAATTCACTGACATTCATTCCCTTTGATTTTTTTTCTTTCTTCTCTGCTGGTGTTCACATTATCTGACAAAAGTGTTTTTTTTTTTACTTCTTTCTTGGATTACCTTTTTTTTTTTTTTTTTTTTTTTTAACCAATGACATTATTGGCTTATTGCCTTGCAGAGAGAGATTGAATAATCAAAGCTTCTTCTATCTGCAACATTTAAAATAACTCAAGTTAACATTGCAGATGTGGTGAAAGTGGGGACAAGGAATCTTTCAGAGTCTAGAAATCTCTCCTCACCCACACCAAGAGAGTCCTTTGGACTTTGAGGCACAGTAAGAGGAAAGGCTTGTCTTTGGTGGGTCTTGAGGTTGTAAAGGTGGGTGGCTTTGTAGATTAGACCTTTGAGGTTTAACTACAGAGTTTTAAAAATTAGCTTTCTACTTTCCTTACTGGATGCTGAACACTGTAGTGACTTCACTTTCTTGAGGGCATGCTGGGCAATCTGGTGTGTTCAACAGCCCAAAAGAACATCAAGATAAAAGTGGTCTTAACCATTTCACAGCTACATAATGGGTAGGAACAAAAAAAATATGGTGTAGACATGACGTGCCTCCAGTAAATGATCAACAGAACACTGATTTCCAATGTTCACTTTTCAGTAGATAAAGCAATTTTTAAAGGGAAAAGAAAGAAAGTATTTATGATTGATACACTAAAGTAGGGCTCTGGATACAAGCTAAATACCTAAATGTTTCCACAGCTTTTATGAGTATGATTCACATGGTATAACTTTACCAACCTGTAGGTTAAATTTTTAATCCACACTGGTTATTCAAAGCTCCTCTGTGGGTGAAACACACAATTCTTGTTCATCCAACCTATCCTAAATGCTAGGCATTTCTGAGGTGCCTTACTACTTTTCTGTGACAAGAGAACAAGTATCTTTCTCTTCCTAACCGTACAGTTTTAGATGGATTCATCTCACCCACCATCAGCAGTCCCTCAGCATCATAGCAGCAAAGACCTGTCATCCACCTGGGCTTCAATACCCCTCTGGCACAGCTTTTGGAAGTGTATACAATACCATTTGTGCGGTCATACACATGGCTAGTTGCGTACATAGACCAACCTAAAAGCCTACAATAAGTTGGGTAGTAGTTACATTTTGTATTTGGCATGTAATTCTTCTTTTTGTAAACTTCAGGCCTCTAAGTAGTGTTCATATGGTTCCCTATAGCCATAATAAGAGGGTAGTATCTTACAGAATAATTCAGATTTCACTTAAGAGGCCTACAGCGAAAAGCGTGTTGTATGGCAGCAAAACTATTATGAATAATACTATATTTTCAAAGATGGTTATTAAAAGGTGGCAATATCTCAGCCAGCTAGCTGATCACTCTGGAATGCTAGACTGATTGACAAACTTTTGAGAAAGTGACTGTTCTCAATCTTACTGTTTCTGCATTATGTTTGCAAATACCATAGTGCTAAATTCTGTCATCCAGTCTTTTCTGTGCAAGACTCATCACTTTCCATGAATTTTCCATACTAGTAATATTTTTTTTGAGCAAGGTTGGTCTATTGGACTGATATTTTTTTCTTTCTTTCTTGCAAGTAACCCTGTTGTTGCTCTCAAAATTATTGTAAGTGGTTTTGTGATCAACTAAAGTAACTAAAATATGGCCTTAATTTTGGCTTCTTTTTTTTTCATTTTAGTGGCTGCATCAACTGCTAATTCCACAGCTGGTGCGGCCATGAATTCTTTGACTTCTCTGGGTACTCTCCAAGGACTGGCAGGAGCCACTGTTGGACTGAATAATATTAATGCACTAGCAGGTACCGTAAACAGTGAGTATTTATTGCTGTGGTAGACAGCCTTTCCCAATAATCATTTCACAAAAACTACCAATTGTAAAATGATGATACAATTATTTTTAATCTATATGCAAAATAAGGGGGTCAAGTTGATCTAGTTCCATTCATGGTACATATGCAGTTCTGGAGTCTTTAATAAAGTTTCACATAGTTTGCTCTGCAAAGTGAAGTCTTTTGGGTCCCTGCAAAAAGACTCCTATTCTTGCAGGGCAAATGGAAGGTAAAAGAAATGTCAGCAGGGTGTCTGGTTACCTATGTTATAGGAGAGGCTCCTTTTTCATTTTGGGAGTCTGAAAACAGGTATATCATCTCAACACACAAAACCTCATTCAGAAATGTCATGGTAAGAGAGGCATGTTTGCCGTAGACATAGTTCTATTAAAATGTCTGTAGGAATTATCCAATTGACTTAAGAGCAGCATACTTGCTTTTAAAATGAAGGCAAATTTTTGGCCTTTAATTTGGAAGTATAAGAGAATGGTGCGGTCAGTCAGCTGTAATACCAGAGCATGGGCATCTATCCTAATACATCTTAAACCCTGACATCCCCTAAGTAGATGGCAATAGCTGATAGAACATCCTCCTCATTCTCAGCCTTGGTCAAGATTTTCCTGAAGAATAATTTATTTTTTATTGTTTCTGTTATGATGACTTCACCTTTGCCTGAAATGGAAGAGATTGGTCCAGCTGCATTTTTCCCCTCCCTTCTTTTAGCTGCTGTTGTTCCTTGCATTTCCTTCAGCAATGCAAGGAATCTACTTAGTCATCACCAGTCCATGACCCATCATAATGTACCCCCAGGAATGGATGTCCTCCTCAGTACCACTTGCTCACTCTGATGCTCTGCATGATGTCCTTTTTGTCACTGTTACTTGGCTGCTCACCCAATCTTTTTGTTCTGTGATCTCTGGTTGTCATTGTTGGGAGTTGGGAAGGAAGGGGGCTGATGGCTGTCCATGTAGCAATGATGAGTGGTTGCATGGGGCCTTGTGTAAAACAGGTCTTGCTTCTGGCAAGGACATGCATATTTCACACAAGCAAACAACCTCACGGTAAATATGGCTTAAGAACAATTTAAGAAAAGTAAGCACATTAGGCCCTAAAAAGGCCAATGTTTCTTATCTGTTTCTAACTCATTACAGCATGCCACTGAAAATGGCATGCATGAAAAGCTAACTTATCTACTCTCATGAGCTCTCTTAGTAAGAGGGCTACACTGCCGTAAGTAAGAAAACATTAAATGTCCTTCCCCTGATAAACAGTCATTATCCTTTACATGGTTTATAAGAGGTCACAATATCAAGTGCGGCATACGGCATCCCACTGCTTCCCTCCCACAAGTACTAAGAACCCAGGCACACTGGAGCACTCCAAGATAACATTCCCTTCATCAACATCAAGAATGAATCACCTATGAGCTCTTAACTTTGCGTGGGAATCCTTCTTTTGCGTTCCTTTTAACATTTATTGCTAGGCTGCAAACACAGTTTACATTTCCTCAAGAAGTATTTTCAGGTGTTGTTTGTGCAAACTTACCTGCATGTGCCATTTGAAGTATTAATGATGTATTCACAACCTGGTACCAAATTCAGGCTTGTTATAAGCCACCTTTACTTCCATGGACTTGTACTAACAATGGCTTCAGTTCCAAATCTTCTTCATGGATGTTTTTATGGGTGCAGAGTGTGTATGTGCCTAGAATATCCCTATGTATATAGCACACATACTTAAAAATATATGTGGATACGTCTATGTATATGCGCAAGTATGTACATATATGAGAGGGGTCTAAAGAGTAGAAACTGATTCCTCGTATGCTGCATTGTGGCACCTGTTCCTCTCCGAAGGAGGACCCTAATTATCAACTTCAGTTGTTTGCGATGCTAATGATAGCAAATCATTGTTCCAGTGAAAACAACCTCCCCTGTCTATTTTAATGATGAGCCAGTGCTTTTCCTAGTGACTATTTCTGATCCAGTTGTTCACACTCAGACCTCTCCAGGAGCCTGCCTTCGGTAAACCTCAAGTTCAATGGATTTGATGTTTCACAGTATGCTGTGGTCACAAACACTCCAGTAAAAGCATTCAAACATTATTTTGTCATGAAAGTTCCTGGAGTAATTGTGCAGAAAGGCTGGAATTGAGTGACGTGCTTCCAGCTGGGGAATTAACAAGAATGATCCAAAGCACCAGCCATGCTGAGCATCACCCTGAAATATATCAGGAGATGACACTGGGCTTCGGCATTGATTTACGCAAGGGTTTTGGAGGAGGTATTCTGTTGAAATCATGTCCAAGTATGTGAGATTCACAGGGAGAATGTCCTCCAGGCTGAGCTCACTAGGAGACTTAGTCTGCTTTCTGGATCCTGGCTGTGTCTGGGAAAAATAAACTGGGTTCTGGAAACTAATAGCATTCTCATTGTAGAGAGAAGCATTGTAGAAACATGTCTGGAGACCTTATACTGTAAAGTGAAATCTGGTAAGTCAACTGTCTCCAAGGGTTTGGCAGCAGTTGTACATACTGGGATTCAGCCAGTCATCTTTATTTGTACTTGAAGCATCTAAGACCGTAAATGACAAAACATTAGTCTGTCTCCATTGGGGCAAGTAAATTTAAATGAAGTAAATTACAAAAAGAATTATTAATAATGAGGAAAAAATAATAAAGAGTGTAGAAGAGTTTCTTTGTAATTAAGAAGGAAAACCATGAAATTAGGATACTGGACAGCTATGACACAGTAGTTGTATGTGAAACCAGGGCAGTCACTTAGCCTTTCCACCCCCATATTTACATCTGTAAAATGGAGATAAAACTGTTCATGACAGATTGGAGGGTGCATGGAAGGCACTTTCAGAGACCATTGGACTTGCCAAGCATTGTCTCTTCTGTATTATGTAACTCGGAAAAGTAGAAGGCCACAGATGAGAAACTCCAAACAATTATTTCACAAAAGTGAGTAAAAGATCAAAGTTCAATATCAGACTGAGGTGCATTGGTTGAAAAAATACAAAGATGTGTAACTGAAGCTGGATCTTGCATATTCCATAAAAATAAAATAAATAAAAAAAAAAAAAAGAAAAGGAGAAGAGAAGAGAAGAGAAGAAATGCTGACACCTTTCTGCAGATCTGTTTTGCTCAGGAGGGAGGCATATTTAGACACATGCTCTGTGGTAGCCATAGCAGTGCCCTTCCCGGAGGCAGTGAGGTGAGCTGAGGCTATCTGTTGGCTGATCTGAAATCATTTAGTGGGAAGGGGCTATTGATTCTAGGCGAAAGAAGGGGGAGGATGCTGCCCACAGCAACACAAAGCATGTTTATCTAATAGGCTGATGACTCACAAAAGATAACGTGTTATCCTAATACTTCCTCTATTATCAGGTTATTTCAACACTATAATAAAGGGAGAGATACAAGTTGTTTTATCAAGAGCCTTTACTTCAGTCAATGCTGTGCGTACACGTGCAAGCGATGACACAAACCTCAGTACAGAAACATCAGAGTAGGTTAAGGTCAGGCTCAGCACCAAATTACTACTTTATACCATCAGTTTGAATTTCCATTTTCAAAATGTCCTGTCCTTTAGCTGTAAGATGCTTCACAAACTATATTGGCTTGCAGGTTTTGTTTTACATCTGGAACCATTAGACAAGAAATAGCTGGCTCTGCTCTGACAGAGGTTTTTGTTCGAAGACATGGCAGCCAGTATCTCCTATCAGGATACAGCAAAGTTCTGAAGTGGGGTGGAGGGGAAAGAGAAACCTTCAAAGTGCAAGACATTTTATTAAGCAAAGGCTAAGAATATCACATTTCTGTCAAGTGTTTAGTCACACAAATTATAGTAATATCAAAAGGTATAATTTATGCAGTACAATTCTCTTAATTGGCACAGAGTCTGGTGGAGCCAGAAAGGTGCCACTTGAGCAATTGTCCTGATTATCAGAGACTCACAGGAATACACTTTCTGAATCTACATAAGAGATGGAAGAAAACTAGTAGGTCAGTATCTTTATCCTCCTCTGTCAATGCAGTATAATTCCCTCCAGTATCTTTTCTACCACTAAATTACTCATGTGATAAGGTTTATGCTACTTTCCTTGAAGAAGACCGTTTCCCAGTCTAATAGATTTCATTGTTAATTCACTATGAAGTGTTCTCTGCTTGATTTCCTCACTTTTCTTCAATTCCACATAACCCCTTTATTATTGGTCTGAAATTGAGCTCTCTCTTTCTTTTCGATATTCCTAGTTATTGGGGACCACATACAATTCTACCAGTCACTTTTTCACCCATCCTTTTGCCAACAGAAACTCTGCACAGTCAATGTGTAAGAAATGGTCGCAGGTGGTTCCAGATGCCCCCTTTTTCTGGTGACTGCTTTCCTGTACCTTGAGGGGGCTGATTAAGCCCAATTAAGTTGTTTGTGAGCTGTTCACCTAAAAAATATGAGCACAGGATAGCTGGTTGGGCATGAAATGTGGCCTCTCTGTCCTGCTGAGCACTTACTCTCCTGACATTAGTCAGAGGTGTGGGCGATGAGGTCTCTGATTCCTGCTCCCCATGACTACCAAGGTAACTGTAATGGGAAATTTCACTTTTTCTGGAATTTCTGGGGAAAAAAAAAAAAAAGAGTTAACATCGTTCATTTTTATGTGGCTCACTTAGGAGCCATAAGGATGCAGAGAAGTAATGGAGAGAGGCTGTATGTAGTCCAGGAGTTTGTCAAAATTCTTTTGCAGACTGCACTATTTGCATGGGTAAGGGATGCCATTTTATGCACAGCTAGCAAGCCTGTCTGAAACTTCTTCCTTGGTGGTCATCCCAGTCAAATTAATCTGTTATTTATCAGGATGTATAATTGCTTTAAGGAAAAAATAATAATAAAGCGACTCTGCTTCCAGTGAGGAGTAAAGGAACACATTGCTAGATCCAAATGCTCTTGTTTCTTCATGAAAGATGCCTGGTTTGGATGAAGCACTTGCAGTCACTCCAGATGTGCTGCTGTTCACCCATCTGTCCTCACAGGAGTAGGTGGAGGAGGAGGATGGAAGCACACAGCATCACAGTCCATCTTCCTACCGCAAACCCAAGGGACAAAACCCATCACTGTATGGAGTGTTATTCCAAAAAGCTGTTACTCGGGGTTCTCTGCTGACCCCACACAAGCAAAACATCTCTGATACCATGTGGTGATGTCCTGCTGATAAAGACCTGGCCAGAGAGAGTGGGTTTTCTCACAGAATGCTCTTTCCCAAGTGGCCAGATTGCAAGGATGGAGGTTGGGGGGTCCTGCTCTCCCAGCCTTGGATGCCCCCAGCAGAAGCACAGGTGTTGAGGACAGTGGGCAGAGAGGGTTTGGGGAGCACCGAGCTGTAGTACTTGCCAGTAGCAGGCTGCATGCGAGTCCGTTTGACTGTGCAACCGTTGTGCTGAAGTGATCCTGACGCCAGAGTCGTGTTTCTTTGTTTTCAGTCCCATTTGGTGACGCGCCGAGCTGCATGCACTGCCGTCGTTGTCAGTGTCAATATAATACCAACAACTTTCGGAAAGCACTAATGAACAAGTGCAATTTCTTTTCTCTATTGTTGGGTTTTTTGTAAAGTTGCTCAAATGCTCTCAGGTATGGCGGCCCTGAACGGAGGACTCGGCGCAACAGGCTTGACGAACGGTACGGCCGGCACGATGGACGCACTCACCCAGGCCTACTCAGGAATCCAGCAGTACGCTGCGGCCGCGCTGCCCACCTTGTACAGCCAGAGCTTGTTGCAGCAGCAAAGCGCCGCGGGCAGCCAGAAGGAAGGTAAGCACTCGCCCTTCTCAGGATAAGCAACGCTCGGCCAAGCGAGAGCCGTGTTTTGGGTCTGTTTCTTCACAGAGGCTCAGCGAAGGACATCGAGTAGCCTCATCTTTGATGTTTACGTTTTCTCCTGCCCTGATTGGTGGTTTTCATTTTTTCAACCTCTACTGTAAATCACTTTTTTTTACCATCTCTCCTTCCAGCCATACCTTCCTGACCGTTCTTTGTGGTATAAAAGCACCGCTGTGCAAAAAAGCACCAGTAACAAAATGCATCCCGTTATGGGTGACCATCTTTCACACGCTTTAATGGTTTCCATTTTCCATGATGGTGGAGTTAATCTGATTAGGTTTAAGTTTTTGAGTCAATGGCAAGACCTGGCTTTGCATTGAGTGATTCTTTGCTCAATTCTGGGTTTTGCAGGGGAACAACAAAGGGTTTGCCCCTCTCCCTGCGCCAGTAGAGCAAAACAAACCTCGAGAAGTTGCTGCTAAGAAAAAAGGAATGCTAGTAAATATTTAGTAAAATGAGGTTACCTTTTTTCCCCTCTCCCATTCCCTTGTATGCTTCCCAGGCATTTTGGGGTTTCATTTCTGTTTTTACTGCTTTCCCTTCTCTCATCCTAAATTCCAGCTAATTCTAGGAGGACAGGAGAATATTGCATGCTTTCTAAGATTGTATCTATGTTGTCACTACTACTCTTGCCAGGGATAAGCTTTGGAAATAAACCTAGTGTAATATCCTCAAGAGAAAGATTTTTACCCTCTTTTAATATAGTATCATGCACTGCTATGGGATGTGGTGTTTCCTATGAAGGCAAATTTGGCATTCCCATAGCTGGGTATTATACAGGGGCACTGTGGAGTTTAAATGTTTATTTTCTCTAAATTTGTTACATCGTTTACTGCTAAAAGCTCAGATTATATTAAATGAAATGATTTTTTTCTATCAGCTTTTTTTTTTTTTTTAATTTTGTGTGTTCTCTGCTTTTATCTTTCATCTCACTCACTCAGTCAGTGACAACAAACTGACACCAAAACCAAATTGTTTATCTGGTGTCATTGTGCATATTCAGTTTGATTTTTTTTAACTATTTTTTTTCAGTTCATATCAAGTGAAAACTTATTTTTTTATTTTATGAATTGGCAGTGTCTTTTTTAAAACACAGCCTTTTATATGTCTTGTTTCTGTTAGTAAGGGGTTACGTTAGGGTGAATAAATTCTATCTTTAAATACTGATGGCTATTTTTTGTTTCTTAACATGATTTCTGATGGCATGGTGAAGAGTCTGCAGTGGTTGATGATAACCAAGTTCCAAAGAAAAATACTATATCAATAGTAAATGCTGAAGCTTAGTGAACTGCCTCATGCATATGCTGTAAACTATTGTTAAGTAAGTTTTGCTTACTATTTTAAGAAATTTTGTTTTCTGGAAAGGATAGTTTACTGGCAGAAAGAAGAAATAAGTTCCAGGTGATGATTTATTTTCTTTTTTTTTTTTTTTTTCTCAAAAAAAGTTTCTTTGAAAAACATTTTTTTTTCCAAGCCTTTTATCCCCTGTGCTGGGCAAACATTGCAGCCTTTTCTTTCAGGCTGAGAGAGGGCAGCCAGGCTGGTTACAAGAGAGGTGAGGCTTTGTGACTCTTGCAGAAGGTGTCCATAAATCTGGTATGCTTTCCTCTCCAATCCAGAAAACCACAGACATCACATCTGAGATACACACAGGTTCCTTTACACAGGGGAATACTCAAGCATGTTACTCTAGATGTGTTTTTACCAGAAATTTTTGTTCTCTTTGTGTACTGATTGTGCTCCTGGTGTCTGTGTGGGAAGGCCGCACGTCTGGTTCCATCATAGATCATATTCTTTTAGACATTCATGGCTTACTTCCAGTATGTTACTGCAAGGGAAAAATTGAGCTGGGATTGAAAAAAAAAAAAATTATTGCTGGGGGTGTGTGTTTAAGCAAATAGCACTATAATGTGTATCTCAAATTTAGGCTCTAAGAAAAATATTCAAAGTAGCTCCAAGTTTGCCCCTTTCTTTTCAAACTCAAATTGATGTAAAGCCACTTTAATTTCAACCCAAAAATTTTATTTTGAACTTTTAAAAAGTAGTTATTTTACAAAGTTTCTCTGGGAGATAGAGCTTTCTCTGGGGAATTCATATTTAAAAAGAGTATGCTGTCTGAAATGAGTCCACACGTTTTTTTTTTCTTAGTATCTCTCTCTGATTCTGCTGATTTCCAAGTCAAAAAGTTTGCTTTGTCTTACCCTTTTTATTCCCATCCCCACCAAGCTCCTGCCCTTTTATCTGTGATGCTCAAATCTGAGCTCAGCTCACTGCATTTCTCTAAATTCCTGCAACTAAAATTAAGCCAGCAAACCCATGCAGGTGTTTGAGGCAGCAGGGGGCTCTTTGGGCAGATCTTGGGGTGTTGTGAGAGAGTAATACATTGTGTACCTGTTTTCCTAACCTTAATTATCCTGAAAGACACTTGTGTAAATTGAAGAAAGAGGCTGCAGTTTAACTTCTTTTGTAGAAGAGGTATCAAGTGAACACTTTGCAAGATAGGATACTCTAAAGAGCTGCATTTCAGCTCTGTTCCTTTGATGATCCACTTACTGTTCTTCCTTCAAAGTTGGAAAGTGAAATGCTTTCTGACCATCACCTTCAGTAAGTATTATGGGAAAATAGATTAAACGTAGCTCTTGTAATAGCTGTTTTCAGACTTTTGTTTTGTTTTGTTTTCCTAAAGGTCCAGAAGGGGCAAACCTCTTTATTTACCACCTCCCCCAGGAGTTTGGAGACCAGGACATTCTGCAGATGTTCATGCCTTTTGGAAATGTTATCTCTGCTAAAGTCTTCATTGACAAACAGACCAATCTGAGCAAGTGCTTTGGTATGTCAAATTTAATAAATCAAATAGTAAAAACCACATGCACCACTCTGAAAAGGGGTCAGGAAAGAAAATTAACAGCAGTGTGAGAAATGTCATACTGGAATTTCATTCCCAAAATAATGGACTCTTAATCCTCAAATGAGAGGAAGGATGCACAGGCAAACTAGTTCTAACTAAAAATTGGCTGTGAAAAAACAATAATAATCTTCCAGTCTGACATCTCGCATGAATGTGTCAAGTACATGAAACTAATTACACCCTATGTGGGGGAATGTCATTTAGTATACTATTAAGCTGCCTTATTATGGATACCTAATTATTCTCTATTGTATAGCTGAGCCACTTAAAAATGCTCTATGTTTAACCCATTACTTCTACATTACAGGAATTTCTTTCTTCTGAATTAAGTACAAGATTGTGCAATTAGTGTTTGAATGGTGTGTACATGTAGTTCAGAACGTTTTACAGACAGTTGATGTCTAGATATGCAGCTAGAGCTGCAGCAGGCAAGCTCCAATACATTATGAAAGGTAGCATCTCCCCTTACCTTAGGGTGGGGATGAGGGGAGTGTCAATGTCAAGTTTTCCAGGGAATGCTTTAGGCTGTCAGAAAACTAGATGGCAGCAGAGGAGAAGATGATATGTTGGTATAAAACAATTTCTAGGGTTGGTCAGATAGGCTGATGTCCTTCGAATGACATAGGTGCACCAGTTCAGTGCCTCAACAGAGAGGAAAACAGAAGGTGACTGAGTGGCAACCTGTTAGATCGTTGGTCTAATGACTGTGGTTTTAATGCAAGACATGAGAAGGGTCTTGGAGGACAGAATCTCTTAAAGAAAAGTTTCGTAAGGTTTGACTTAAAATACTGGGGCTTCCAGCGAAATGACAACTCTTTCCCAGAGTAAAGGAAAGCAGCTGTATGTATGACAAATTAGTAACCAGTCGAGACAATCCCTTTAGTTTCCAAAACTTTTTTGTACTGACAAATGTTGCTCTTTGCACAGCACCATCACTTAATTTTCAAGTGTCCCCATTAACCATAATACATGTTTCTTAGCTTGCATATCATTACTTCTTTATTTTTTTTTAATCTAGGTTTTGTTCAAATGTGTCTGTCTCAGTGTTTGTCTACATGAGGTCCATTCAGGAACAGCTATTGGGCTTTAACCCATTTTAAAAGAGATGAATTTATCTAAACAGACAGTACCCAATCAAGAGCAGCATCTATCAGGCTACTCAGAAATACCTACTGCACAGGGATTCAAGCCATACCACAATCTGTGTCTATTGCACCTGACAAGCCCATAGTACACCTGGAAATTTAATTCACTTTGCAGATAGCATGTGATATTCTTTCTGCATTTTTCTTTATTTTTTAGGCCCTGTTTAAGCTTTACAAAAAAATTGCTCATATTTAGACTAATACAGTACAGCATGTTTCTGCAATGTGTTAAAACAGTCCCTGAGGCTGTAGCAAATTTGAAAACTGGAATTGAAAAGGACTCCCTATTGATCTGGAGCCAGTTCAGCTAGTGTGTTGGGGTGACAAAATCACTGTTGAGGTCTCCAGGAACCTTGATGAAATGTCAAATCAAGCTGTGTTAATCGAAATGCAGCAATTGTGATCACTACTGAAAAAAATGTAGATTAGTTTGGGCAGGCGGCTCAATTCATCAACTCGCTTCCCACACTTGTTTTTTGTGGGTTTCCTTTTACTGTTCGATTACCTACCTACACATTTCTCTGGGTTTACAGGACACAAATACCTACCTTAGAATGATGAACTGAGGTTATCTTGTTTGAGGGGAAACAGAAGGGTCAACACCCAATGGATGGAATAGTCCTCTGTCTTTTTGGCATTAGTCAGGTTTCAGTAACATTGCAATTTCTCATTCTTCCTCCCCAGGTATTCTGCCAGCAGTCGAGAGAGTTCTGCTTTAAAAACAAAAAGTACTGCAGTGGCAGAGGAAGTTGAGATTTTCTGATTCAGTAGGTGTGAACAGCACCTGTGTGATTCTGTTAATCACAGGCAAAGCCAAGATTAATCCTGCTAGTTTAACATCCCTGCATGCATCACCTCAGCTTTTATTGGCAAGAATCATCTATTTGTTGTTTCAGCCCCAAACTTGTGTTTCAAAAAACTTTCTTTTTTTTTTTCTCTGTATTCCCACCAAAAGCTGAGACAGTAGTACATCTGAATTACCCATTTCTCACTGGTACCGCTAATGCTCATTGCTCATGGTGCAATCTGGGTTTGTTTCTTTTTTTTGTTGGACTGGGTTGGTTTGGGATTTTTTGGAAGTCAAATTGCAGATGAAAAGAGATTGAACACTAGAAAGGTGAAAAGAGTGTCCAACGCTGTCCGCTGACTGAATTTGGATGGGAAGATTTGTTCCAATCTCAGAGTAGTGATACACAGTGATGAGCTTTTATGTAACACTGCTTCTCAAAATGAAAAATCACTTTTATTTGCAGAAAATGAGCTTTGGTGTTATTTGCTTTCTTGTCCATCTCAGTTGAATGCTCAAGAGATTAAATGGTAATGAGGATGACAGGACAGTCCATCTACCCCTGGAAATACTTTTTCATGAGCTCTCATGAGCTCTAGTTGATTCCACAGACAAAGGGTTTCACTCTTTAAGCTTCTCTCTTGCCTTTCATAAAACTTACAATAACAGAAATGAGAGAGTAAAGTAAGGCAGGGGAGGGGGGACCCAGTGACATCCCAGCGTAAATACAGTCTTCCTCATAACAAATTTGCTACTCAAATGATGAAAAATATTTATCCTGGTTACAGAGGTACCAAGAGATTTAAAACAAAAATCAGAATCATCATGACAGGGGCTTTGCAAATTGATAAGAAACATCATCCCATCCCCACGTAACCTGCAGTTTAAATTTCAGACCAAAAAAAATGATGAATGGATGCAATCAGAAACAAATAAAGGGAGAGAATGTCATATTCCCTCACAAGCTTTGTAAGTGAAGGTTCTTGATAAGGGATAAGATGAAAGTGTAACAGGCTAATGTAGATAGAGCATTCTGTGCATAGAGACAAATTGTGAAGCAGGATAACAATTGAATGATAAAGGCTGATTCCACTGATGCAGCACAGAGGATGTATGTTTGAATTTGTGGCTGAGTCAAGGAAACTATTAAAGAGACATAGAATGAAGTGACTTATTACATCCCCTGGAAGGTAAGCATAGCCTAAGCTAATTGTTCTTCTGTCAGCACGGGAGAGTCTGAGTTGGTGACAAGAGAGGTGGGTGGAAAAGCCACCTCAAGGAGCGCTTGCTTCTCTTCATTCACCATTCACAGATGCCACCTGATGACTAGTTTAGATCAGTTGCTTAACTTTCAGGTCACCATGACTAGCTAAGATAAAAAGGAACTAAGATGATGAGAGGTTCATAGCAGAAAACCATTCAGAATGCACTCAAGAGAACAACGTGAAGGTCAGGAAGGCCGTAGAGGAAACTGCTGAATTGTTGAGGTAGGTAGGAGTAGCTTATGGAGGTTATGCAGTATCTGCCCGGAAGGTGCTACAGCTGCCTTCTAACTCATGGTAGGTTGCTTTTTCTTTCTGTCCCTGAGGAAATCTTACAGCTCAAGGCTGAGATCTGTGAGCTGATGGAAGTAGACAGAGGAGTGCAGTGCTAAGGCAGTGATTGGAGTCGTGTGAACAGATAAGATCTCCTACAGCAAGACAGGGGAAGGAAAGGAAGAGGGTGATGAAGTTCCTCAGGATATGGTGATAATATTCAGAGGAAATGATCAAGTGAAGAAAGTGAGGAATTGACAAGTTACTAAAATCAAGGAAGATATGGAGGAATATTTATTATCCCTTAAGGAGGTAATGAATAATCAACCACAGAAGAGCATGAATCAAGCATATTGGCTTTGGCCGGGAGAAGGTCTACAGAGATTTAAGTGAGAGGCTTTTTGAGTGGAAAGGAGCAGAAGTGAGCCTGAATTGTCAGAGAAGAGTCTTAAGTAAATAGTTTGGTGAAGTCGATTTAAGGTGAACCGTAGGGAAGGTCTGTAAGGAGGGAGGGCAGACAGGGACCAAATGACTTGTTAAGAGGCTTTTTTCTTTACAATGGGCAAAGTGTATCATTCTGACACTGAAGAAGGAAGAGGGCAACAGTGCGAGGTAAGCAAGAGCCATAAAAGAGCAGGTTAAAATGACAGCAAAAAGAGGTTGTGAATCAGAAAAGGATGCAGGCACTAAGCACAAATGAAGAAAGCTGGTGGAAGACAGGAGCTGAGCAGCTTCCGTGTTAGTACTGAAAACAAAGTGTGGGGGAGCCATGCTTTAACAGGGTGAAGGGATATGTGTTAAGTCAAATTCAAGTGGAAAGGAGAAGGAGCATTTCAAAGCCGATGCATAATAGCAGGCTGGAATGCAGTGGTAATTAGCCAGAGCAGAGGCAGAGCAGCAGTTAGGCGAGCTTTGCAATTACAAGTGGGAGGCCCAGATATGAAAATGAATTTTGAGCTTCCAGAATCAGGGAGATTTGAGTCCATTATGAACAGAGCTTTTTTTGTCTCAGGGGGAAAAGAAAGCTGAGCCAGGCCAGCCATTCTGAATTACCCGAGCAAGCATTATCCCCCTAGTTAGTGCTCACAGCTGAGGAGCAGAAGATCTGGAGTTCTCATCAAGCCCTGCCATTGTCTTTATGATGTTGCTTAATTTCGATCCTTGCATACCCCTTTTGGGACCAAGAGGCTGAATTAATTAACATTTAATGTACCTTGAGATCTTGAACTGGAAGGAGCTGTAAAAATACAAAATATTAATATTGCAACTGTCCCAGTCTGGGCCCAAGGAGATGACTGTTTAATATCACCCAGGACCAGTGTACGTGAACTCACATTCAGATGCGCAAATTCGTACAGGCATCCAAGTTTGGGTTTTGTTTCTGTAACCAGGTCTTCTGTTTCATCTTCACATGTACAGACTGGCCTCATAGTACTTCCTAATAGGCTGGGAGATGTGTAGATATTACAGTGAAAAGTGTTACAGTAATAAATATCTACAGTCTCTAAGGTAGGTAGATAAAAAACAGATTGGGAAACTGCATTGCACCAAAACTGGCCAACTGCATCCCAGCTAGGAAAGAAATATTATGAAGGTAAAAGGGAAGGCGAAGGGAAAGGGCGAGGAAATGGGCTATGGAGTGTGATCAAAGAAATAATTGAAAGAGAGGTAAATGTGTCAAATAAATAGTAATAATAAAATCCTAACAAAAAGCCTTCTGGAATTTGTTCTAACCTACAGTTCGCTTTCTCTCCCGCCTCCGTTCTGTGTCTCGTAGGTTTTGTTAGCTATGACAATCCAGTCTCTGCACAAGCTGCTATCCAGGCTATGAACGGCTTTCAGATTGGCATGAAACGCTTGAAGGTTCAGCTGAAACGCTCCAAAAATGACAGCAAACCTTACTGATCTTAACCCCAGATGCTTACTGCTCTTATTTTAGCTTTCTTAGGGTAAGTCCCATGAGCAAACCTGTCCTCTGCAGGGGGGTTAAGAGAGAACATATAGCCAACCTTCACCAAGAGACAGTTATTTTTACAGTTACCACTTCCATTTCCCCACTTGTCCTTACTACACTTGGCTCCCATTTCCTTGCCAAGTAATTACTGAGTTGTGTTACTGTATTTTGTTTTGCAGCATAATTTATCTCCTTTTTAATAAATAAACGTCTTGAAATTCAAAGCAACACACACACACAAAAAAAAAAAAAAATGTGCAATTTAACTCTGTGAACCCTGGTGCCATTAGCACACAATAAAAGTTGTTTTCTATGGTTGGATCCTATTTTACCAGGGTGGCACCAGCAGTTTATAGGTTAAAGAAAATGGCCTCATGCCAGTTGAAGCACTTATTTTGCAACAAGAAAATTGAAACAAGTCTTTCCACTACATCAACTTGTTTTTTGAGAAGATTTGATTTTTTTTTCAGTTCAAAACAATGTGTTGTTATATATTAGTCTGATTTTACACTGGTCGTCTTTATATTTCACTTTTTTTTAAGTTCTTGTTTTTTTGGAAAGGATTAATGTAAAAAAGATTTAGAGATCTGTTTCTAAAGCTACAGGGTTTAAAATAAAAAAAAAATAAAATAAAATGAGTGACAATACTTGATGTTTCTTGAGAGATAAATTTAATAATAATAAAAAAGAAAGCCACAGGCCTGTAAATTTTATTTGTAAAAAGCATTTCTATTTTTATACAAAATTTTTACTGCCTCAGAAATAATGGAAGTTATTTATTGCCTATTGTTAACTTATTGGATACCTAAAGAGCAGCTCTCTATGCTAGCTAGATCCTTTGAAGTAGTCTCTAGAGTAATTGTGCCAAGAATGGGCGCTTTTTCACTGTTGAACCCTACACCCTTTACAGTTCATGCTTTTATCCTCTTGTTTGTATTTGTCTGGTTATTTTGTTCGTAGTTTCCATTACCTAGTTTAAAGTTCAGTTGTCTGACCTTTTTTTCCCTCCCCGTACCTTTATGTTACATTTGTAGAAACTGGTTCTTTCCTCTCTTTTCTCCCCAAAGACGAATCCATTCTCTCTGACTCCTTTCAGATGGATTCTTTTGGGGTTCCATTGTGCTGTTGTTGACAAGTATTGTAAGTTAATGCAAATTATGTGAACAGCTCATAGACTCTACTGACAAAAGATTTGCATTAGTTTTCTCCTGCACCCATAAAAGTGATTTTGTTTGTGCTGCATAGATTCTATGTAACTTTTTTCCTCTTCCTTGTTTTTTCCCTAGACATCTCCATGCCCGTTAGCCCATCGTTTGCCTAGCATGTCCCTGTGGCGTCTCAAAAAAAAAAAAAAGTTTCATCGTCCCGTCATTGTTTCTGATGTCTTTCTGACCTCACATCATATTTGGTTCTCCTACTGACCTTTGATCTAGTTTGACCTTTGAAATTTGCATGTGACCTCATCTAGCTATGAATTCTGGGAAGTCAATGTGAAAAAACATTGCTGCATTCATGCAAGACTGAAATTTATTATTAGATAAATTAATGATAGGATTTAAAAACAACCTGTGGCAAAATGTTTTTTCTTTCTTTCCTTTTTTGTTTTTCTTTTTTCCTTTGTTCTATTTTTTTTTTCATTTCGTAAAAAAAAAAATAAAAAAAAAAAACAGACTTGAAAGTATTATACAGGGATTGGCATTCTGCCTGGTCACTGGTGACAATAGCAATATGTGTCCAGAGGCACAGAATGTTGGTTTCTAACAGACTACTTCCAAAACAGTTTGAGAAATAAAACTGTCTGATTTTAAGTCTCTAGAGGTCTGTAATAGTTTTTACATTTTTCAGGCAGTGTAAAGTTTTTTGATAAGGCCATTTTAGGTGGCTCACTTTCTCATTAAAGTATATATATAGAACCACTTTTTGTAGATTAGTATAAGAAAATATTTACCCTGTTTTAGGGCAAATGCTACCTACTTGTGTCACCTTTTGCTGAACTGACTCACAGTTAGACAATCCATGGTTTAATGCACATGAAATTACCTATATTTTATACTGTTTCAATGTACAGAAGAAAGGTTACTGTAAAATGTGTTACGTTGGTGCTTCTGTGAATTAAGTTGTGGTTTCATCATGAGTCTTATGGTCTTAAGTGTTCTATGTTTATAAAGACAAGTTTAAAATTGGTTTACTTGAAGAACAAGAACAAAAACAAGATTCAAAAAAAAAAAGAAAAAAAAAAGTTGTTTGCTTAAAAAAATGAATTTCATGTGAAAAATTAAAAAATATTCCAGAATAAGTTTGTGTTGGCTTGTGACGCATTGATGTCATTTTTTTATTGTGAACAATTTAGATGTGTTTGTGTTCAGCAAAATGTGATCGGTTTTTCTTTTAAAGAAAAAAAAATCAGTGAAACTATAGTGCCAAATTCCAAAGGTACTTTCTTCCTAGAGCTTCAGTGTGTTTCTTGTGTGAAGTAATTTGATAACATGGGTATTTTATTATGTGTTTTGTATAAATCCCTAATATTTAAAGAAAAAGAGGTTAAAAAGTTTGTTAACTTGCTATCCTGTGGTCTTGTTGCCTGAAATTGTTATTGTTTGTTATTTCTCTTTGATGTTTTTTGTAAAACATTGTATAAGTGCCCATGTTTCACTTTTTTAACCACTCTGCACACATCAATGCTGTGAAAGCAAACCTCACAATGTATTTTCTTCATATTGTATGGAAACCTCTAAGGTGAGAAAGTTTTGAACTTTTAACCCTTTCCACCCAGAGCTGTCTTGAGTGTTAATACCTTTTATACATTCACCATTTTGCTGTTTATTTTTATATATATATCTATATCTATAAATATATATATACTTAGTTTTTTGTGGTTTATTTAATACATGGTTGAAATCAGAACAATGCACAGGGCAGATCTGAAGGACAAAAATATTTTACTGCTGTCTAAATTTCTTCTGTATCTATAACTAAAATTATTTAAAACAGTAATTAACTTGTGGTTTTCCTTTTTAGATTTTGGGGATTTTGTCTTTTCTTAAAGAGCTTTTAATATGCTGCTGGAATATGCTATTCAGTATTAATAAAATAAAAGAAAAATAAAACAATTCTTTAATTATCTATTGTGTGAACCACTCCCAGAAAGGAGTGGTAAATCCACCATTTGAAAATCGTGAGGAGAAAAAAAATATTTTTGTAATTTAAATAAATGAACTTTTGCTTAAATCAGATGCACTAGATCTTCCTGGGTGAAAATTCAGCATGCACTGCAGTTAAACTACTTTTTATGGATAAAGTTTACATACACTGTAATGTTTGGTGTTATCTGCCATTACCTGTAACGGCAATATATTGGCTTACTCCTGCAGACACTCGTATAGAGAGGAGTAACTTTACTCGTACAAGTAGTCCATGGGAATACGTATGTGACTGATGTGGGTGTTTGCTGGAGGAAGCTGTGTGTAAGGAACCAGAAAAGAGATGCTGGTAGCCCTTTCACTGCCTTGTAAGTCTGATTAGATTGCATTTCTACCGCACACGTAGTGACCAACAACCAAATTTGGTTCTTTGCTACCGGTATAGCAAATTCATTGCCAATCCAATGCGTGTGAGCAGCAGTACTTGCTACTGATGATAAAGTGCCATACCTTCTTCCTATTTCTGATTATATTCGAAGCCACCTAAAATTAAAAACGAAGCCCTATATGAACAACATCAGCTGGTGCACTCTTGTCTCTCATCCCCAACTTAAACGCTTCTTTATGTAGAGCCCTGGGATGGAAAGGACTAGCCTCTAGTGATGCAAAAAAGTTTCCTTCTTATAGCACATGCACTTATAAATAAGTGATCTATACTTTTCTCACATTTTTACTACTGCTGGGGCCTTCCTACACCCTTTGAGGGCTATTTTGTACTACTTGCAGCAATTTTGCATATTCAAAGTATCATCTCACGTACGTTATATTATATATATGTACATATATATATAATATGAGATCATCATTTGGATTGTTTAGACTGTTTCACTAATTTATCCTCATTGTAACCACCGTATAAATTTCCAAAGCTTTTTTAGATGCCCTAGTGTGTCCTGCGGGTTTACCAGTCCAGTGAGAGCGGTGATGTCTTTGGTCATCAGGCAGTGTAATTTGGTATCAGCCGCTGACCCGAGCGGTTGCCCCAAATTACACTACACAAGACATTGGCTTAGCAGTGGGAGAGGAGGAACAGTTCAGGATTTCCAGGCAACTGAGATGTGTCCATCTTGAAATGTATTTATTTTTTAAATCAAATATAAAAATGAAAACCCAAACATACACCTCCTTGGAGACAAATTATCTACCAGTTCTCTTTCAAAATATTGAAAGGAAAAAGCTGCAAGGGTGCAAGGGCCTAATAAGAGAGGAAGAAAAACAAGGGAAATTGCTTTACAAAATTCTAATCAAAAGACTAGACTAGTTGCTTTTTTTCAAACAAATTAGCTAATTGTGATGAAATGGCAGTCCTCAAAGGAGTAACAAGTTCATCTTTCTTTCACCATAGGGGTTACAGTTCCTTGGCTTGTGCTACTCTGGAATCATTTTACTGTTTCTGTTTTTATTATCTTAAGTGCTAATTAACAAAAGGAAAAAATATCCTGTAGTTTCATTACCTTTTTGGATAATGTCATACAAAAAAAAAAAGAAAAAAGAAAAAAAAAAAAAACTATGTATTTGTGTTTTTTTTGTGCTGTGAGAATTGTTGTTTGTAGATTAATAATACTATCATTTTGTTTAGAATTACAAACTAGTTTTTAAGTATTGTCTGAGAAAAGCCAAAGTTAATGCAATCTAGTGGAAACTGTAAGACCATTTGAGTATTGTTTCTGTTTTATTGATGCATTTGGATTTTGTTGTTTGATGGAATTTGAGCCAAAAAAAAAAAAAAAAACAAGAAAAAAAAAAAAAAAAAAAAAAGCAGGCTTTCATATTTCTACAACCTGACTGTACTTACTTACGCATTTTGTACCAGTGGAACTTTTTATACTGGAGATTAAAAACAAATGGAAATTTTTGTGGCTTACTCTCGTGGGCCCCCTCGATCATGACTGATTTTCAAGTTTGATTTCTGGATGGTAGAAAGAGAGTTGGTTTTGTTTAGAGAATTAAAAACTTTGGCTTGATTTCTTTTTTTCCCTTTGCTTATATCTAGTGTTTAGAATTTTGTCTTAACAAAAGCGGTAAGTTTCACTTTTTATTCTGTATCGTGCAGTTACACAATAAGGTAATTAGAATTAGGAGTACTCGGTCACTTTGCGTGGATAAATGTATTAGTTAAAACGTTAGGGGTTTGCTTTTTTGCTGTTTAGATCAGAGTTTTTTCTGATTCTTCTGTCCTCATTGTGAACATAACCGTGTAGTTGAAACAGTCAGACTTATTTTTGTAACGTATGTTATTGTGTGATGCAGTTTTTTGCTTCTGTCTCCAATATTAAACCATTTTCCTAATACTTGTCTCTCTACTTTGTGTCTTGTATTGTTGGTGGTCATTATGTGTTGGTAATACATCTACACACCTCACTGTTTCACGTTCCTGTTTTTTTTTTTTTTTTTCTCTATTTGTTGGTTGTGTACAAAAGATACAGTCGATTCCACCTAAGTGAATATCTGATTGGGGGGCAAAAGAGGATTTGTGCATTTTAGACATGTTATGGTTTCTTTGATATTTTTTTCTCTCTCCCTCCCCCTAGTCATGCCTTATCACTTGGATAATCTGTCTGAGCAGGAAGCATTTTAAATGAGTTTCCTGCAAAGTCATATGGAAGATAGCTTTTGCTAGTCTTCTAACTGCAAAAGCTTATGCACACAAATACACAGAGAAATCAGAAGCCATGTGAAAAGATTTTTGCTGACATTTCAGTCAGTCTGCAAAACGCGGATTATGGTGATCAATTCTTCCTAGTCATTCAAAAAATACTCTGCCGCTACTTCGCAGAAGCGTATGAAACATTCAAGAAAATATAGCCTTGGGATTTCTTCCAGACTGCACAGTAATCTGATGGCATATGGTGTTAGTCAAACTCCTTAGAAACTAATCACAGCTTAACTAGGGCTATGAGAGCCTGCAAAAGCCTACCAGGTAAACGAGCTTGTTACGTGCAGTTATACATATAATAATTTAAAAATAAAATCCAAGTGAGCACAGGGAGACTCTATTAAAGCCAGTGGAAGAATTAAAAAAAAAAAAAAAAGAGGGAAAAAAAGAGTAAGAAAATAAAAGAAAAGGAAACACAAAAAAAATCCCCTGTTGTTCAAACGGGTGATATTTTTGCTGTGGGTTTACAAAGCAGATCATTCTCAGCACTGGCTAATAGTATTACACAAATCTCAAAAGGGACAAAAGAAATACCATAGCACTTTTTTTTTTTTTTTTTTTTTTTCCCCTAGAGTTGGCTTTTAGCTTTTTTTGTTTTATTTTTCCATTTCCTATAATTTTTTTTTCCTCACAAGAATCTCTCTGCTCTCCCCCATATCTACCACAATGAAATAAAAGCCGTGAAAGAAAAATATCTATGTTGTTCTGGTTTACAAAAGTCTCTTCTCTCCTCTGTCTGATCACAGATACAAAGCTTACAATTTGGAGAGGGGAAAACAAAACCAACAAAGCCAAAAACCAAACAAACAAATAGAAAAACAAACCCAAGGAGGAGAGAGAAGCACTGGCAAGTGCTCTCTGGAATTCAAGCCATATGCCCACTCCCCTTTCCTTTGTCCCACTTTCTGTGATGCTCAGGAATCGAAGACCACTTAAAAGTGCTCTTATGAGACCCAATGGACACTCCTCCCTCGTGTCTCCTCTCCCCCGGTCCTTCTGGCACTCTGGCTTCGGCTCACACACAGACACCACCCCAGGCGAGGGCTCGCGCAGCACGGGGGCACAGCGCGCGGGGTGTTTCCGTGTGGTTTCAGCCATGATGTTGGCTCCTGTGTTTGGAAGAGTTTTGAAATTTTCAGGTGGCTCATGAGTTGGCCTGGTTGCTTATTTATTTATTTAACCTTGGTGGGTTTTGTGTTTTTTTTTTTTTCTTTTCTACACTTTTCCGGTTCCACAAAAGGCCAAATAGGTGACAAGTCTGGGATAGAATCCTAGAATCATCTAGGTAGGAAAAGACCTTCAAGATCATCAAGTCCAACCACCAGCCTGACCTACTGAGTCCCCCACTAAACCATGTCCCTTAGTGCATCCCAAAGAAGCTCAAACATTGTCTTGTAGGGTCAGGGGTCCAAGCAAATACCTTGCCTGCAACTCTAAGTTTAATTAAAAACCACAGAAGCCTGTAGAGGACAGCCCAGGCAAGGGAGCAGATCCCAATGGTCAGGCTGTACCTTGGGTCTTTTATGCTTCTAGAGTTCATGATTCTGGTTCTGATTATGTTGACACCAGTGGATTCAGTTGAGTAAGTCTGGACTTACATGAACGATAAATCAGAGTTGATCTCTGGGATTTCTAGGTTCTTGTAGATGTCTTTATTTTATTTTTTCCCCAAACTTGGTCTTAGGAAAGAAACTGGAGCTTTGTGAGGGGTCTTTTCTTCCAAAAATATAAGTGAGTAAAAGACTTATGCTATAGTTGGGTTTCTTTTGAATACTCAGGGCTGAAAGAGACAGGGTTGTTGTTGTTGTTTTTTTTTTCCTTTTTTTGTTATTTTATTTATTTCAACAATGGGGAAAAATGAGTTCCTTAAAGCAATGCAGCTGAACAGTTTGTCCTGCTTAAATGCATGCTTTTAATTTCAATTATGTAAGGCACCTTGCAGTGTTAGCAAAATGTCTCTTTGTTAGCTATATGTGTATCGCCATGGGAAATTACCAAACTGTCACAAGACTTGCTGATTAAAGAATAGCCTGCCAGAGTGTGTGTGCCTTTGCCCAGTGTGACTCTTAGGTATTAGGCTAAGGAAAACAGTTTAACAAAATGTAGTGTGAATCATTCCTGATAAGTGAATAAAGCATTGTGACCAAGCAATCAGATTATTCACTTATCAGGAATCGACTGTACTGAGAGTTTGCCTGATTGTTTTTGTTCCTCATCTCTGTTGTAGTTTCACTACTTTGCTGTGTTCTGTTTTTTCTCTCATGCTCTTAGCAAAATCACTGGGAATATCCCTTCGTGTGATCATGAAACATGCTACTGAGTAACAAATAAAAAAATTTTTAAAATATAAAAATGATATCTTAACAAAATCTATGCACTTGCTATCAGGAACACAATACTGGATGTGTCTTATATATATTGAACTATAATAGTATTCGATTTCTTAAATAAAGCTTAAGAAAGGATTTTGTTGTCTGTAAAATTTTATGAGCATTAAATGGAAAAAAAAATGTTTCTAGGGTTGGGCGCTTTTTTGTTATATGAAATCTTACTGGGTATACAGTCTTTAACCATACCCAGGCAAATGTTGTATAATCTGCTTGATATTTCATTAATATCTGAGACCTTGAAAATTAGTCCATGGGGAGAAAAAGTCTTACCACTCAGTGACTTGCAGCAAACGACACTAAAATGTGGAAATTTTCTATCTTTTTCTAAACATGCTTGCTTTTGCACTAAAATGGTATGAAATAGCTAAAATATGTGAATCAGAAAATGTAATGAAACAAAGCTATATTTCTTCCACAAACAATAATTTATTTATTTTTGGTATGTGACTTTTTTTCCTCCTGATTCTACATAGGTTTAGAATAAAAAAAAAAAAAATGAAACCTGGTATGCTCAAAATCACAGATTCAACATTCGAGGTCAAAGCACCTTTTTGTGGAAGATGAGTGGTTTACTGTATCCTGTATCTGAGCCTTCTTTTAGGAGAACATTTTCACATCAAAACCCATGAATTAAATGGGAGTCTAATAGCAAAAACTGTTGAGTACACTGAAAAATTTATTCCTTCAATGGCTGTACATTTGCCACAAAATTGTAGGTTTCGCACAATCAGATTTTTATGGAAATGTCTGGACTACTTGTATTTAGCAAACTTTCAATAATGTCAGCCTTTGGCAGAAAGATCCAGGAGAGTGGTTGGGGGGTTGCTTTCTTTTTTTCTTTTGAACTGCATTACTGCCTCACTTTTCATATGCCATTATATTATCTGAAAAAAAAAAAAAAAATTAAATTGTGGAAATCTACCCTCTGCTTGTATCATTCTCCTCTCTTCATACATATTTAGCAACTGGTATTGAGCTGTACATCGGGTGGCCGGCTTTTAGAGGAGTAAACCCAAAATACTGCTCCCCAGCAAAGCCCTGGGGAGGACTGACCAAAGTAGGCAGCAGGATGCTCCTTTCCATCCCGCATCTACACTGAGCTCGGATGGGGATCCAGGCTGGATTCACAGGGGCTGCTGGTGTATAACAAATATTAAGTAATAGCAGTGATTAGCTCATATTTGTATTCCCTCTGATTTTCCTCGTTAGCAGACTTTCTTTTTTGTCCATTAAAGGGAGGTGGGAAGTTGCAGTCATTTTCTGAATCATTCGTCCCTGTTGATAACCTAATTGTTTTACATGAATGCTAATATTTCCCTCTCACACATTTATATCTATCAGCTAAATCAGTAGTAAAGTAAAGTCTTCTGGGATACATTCCTATATCAATTACCAAGGATTTATGCTCCGAAGCACCATTAGCATTAATGGGAGTGTGCTCTGTAGCATAAACAATTGGTGATAGGTCTGGTGGACCTTATTTCATAAACAAAGAAGCATTTGAATCCTAGCGAGTTGTTCCTGAAGGCAGTGCTTCAGGGAGCGATGTCCCCACCTCCCCGGGCTGCTCTGGGGATATCTCACTCACAGTACGTGCCTCAATTGCAAAAGGAGATATCGTTTGGAAGAGGGATGACTTCTGATGCAAATCTTTGCTGGCCATTTCCCTTCTGAAAACCTGACTGGAGACACACCAGGTAAAATCTTGAGTGTTGGCTCACGTCCCTCCAACTGATGACTTCAAAATTTTACTCTTGGGTTACCCACGTTGTATGGTGCCACAGGGTGAAGATGACAGAGATGCTGCAGGGAGGGGTTTTTTGAAGGAGGCAGGAGGAAGACCAGAGGTGAAGTCCTGTTGACCCAGTAGTGTGTTTAATACCTCACTAAACTGTAGGTTTCACAGCTCCATGCCTTTTAGTGGTGAGTTAGAGCAGACCAACAAATAGCATCGCAGAATCACTGAGGTGGGAAAAGACCCTTAAGAGCACAAAATCCAACCACCACCTAACTCTACCAATTCCACCACTAAACCACACATCTCTCAGACACCTCCAGGGATGGTAACTCCACCACTTCTCTGGGCAGCCTGTTCCAATGCCTAACTACCCTTCCTGTGAAGAAATACTTCCTGACATCCAACCTAAACCTCCCCTGGTGCAACCTGAGGCCGTTCCCTCTAGTCCTATCACTAGTTATCTGTGAGAAGAAGCCGACCCCCAGCTCCCCACACCTTCCTTCCTTTCAGGTGGTTGAAGAGAGCAGTAAGGTCTCCTCTGAGTCTCCTCTTATCCAGACTAAGCAACCCCAGTTCCCTCAGCCATCCTTCATATGTCTTGTCTCAAACAAGTCTCGCCTTTCACATGTAGGACATTATTTTCCCCCTCACCCTATGCTCGATCAAGTCAAACATGTAAGTAACCAAAAGGTTTCATCCTTAATCTTAATCCACTGAGAGTTGGGGCAAAAGTCCACAGCTTCCCAGAGGCACATGATCTTACAAATCCCTGTCCCTGCTTCTGCAAATGTTTTCTCTGTTGGTTCTGCCTCTGCTCAGCCTTGCTACATTAAAAAGCACTTTTTTATCTACTATTTTCCCCCAAAGGCACTCACACAGGTCTTGAGTTGCTTTTCAACCCTCCTTTTCAGAAAAGAAATGTATCATGTTCTTGAGGTATCTGCATATAACAGTGGCTTTTTGGTCCCTGAATATTTTTTGTTGTTGTTTATTTCTGCAAATTTATTTATTTTCCTCTTTTTTTCTCTCTCTCTCTTTTTTTTTTTTTTTTTTTTTAAATGCAGAAATTACAAATTTCACCCCTACTCCTCTGAATTACACTGTCAAAGATTGCATCAGACCTTGCAAAGAATAACATTCAAAAGCCACAAAATATCAGCTTGGAAGAATTATTTTGGGTTGCTTCTTTAGCATGCCTAAATCTCTCTCAGATTTACTGTGCTCCAGGTTCCTGCATGTGTAGTCTGCTTGCTCGTTCTTGGATATAAAAGCTTGCTTACAACCATACCAAGAGCACTTTTGTATAACTCCTAGTCCTCTTCATTATTTTCCAATGTTATCAGCATTTTTAATATTTACTTTCAAGTCATTAGTGAAAGTGTTCAATAACGTTCAGACTTATTACTGATCCCTGCAGAACCCCTCTGAAAAGTAGTCTCCTATAGTGATTCCCCTTTGACAGCTTCTTTGTTGACATGTCAGCCAGTTCTTAATCCATTTTATGTGCCTTGTATTGATAGGGTAGAATGCTAATTTTTTAATCAGGATCTGCTGCGCTGTCAAACATACGAAACTCAGAGTATATTCTATCTTTTCAATTACTTTTATCAGCCAAAACCTACAATCACATCAAAGAACAAAATTGAGTTTGACAACCTTTTCTCCCTAAAAAGCATGTTGATTGGCTTTAATTGTTTACCTCTTCTTTAATGCCTTCTATTCCTTTATACCCATATCAGCATTTCCATTATTTTGCCAAAGAGTAATGTCAGACTAGGCTGCCATGAGCTGGGTCATCCTGCTTGTCTTTTATGAATGTGAGCATGAGAACAGCACGTTCCTTGTTGATTGGGATGCTGCTGGTGTGCTTAAAAAGTCCACAAGGTTTTTATGAACAAATCAGAGCTCTGTGTCCCAGTCCAAGATGCCCAGGGCTACCTGCTTGAAAATATATTATCTTTAATAGCAGTTGTAGCTAAGTAGATGGTTACAGAGTAGGACCAGACCCACTTTATCCTTCTCCTGAAATGTAGGTATGTGAAAGAAGAAACTTTTTAATATTTCCCCTTTTTCTGCATCATGACTAACAGTTTTCCCATATGCATAAACCTAAGTTCAATGCTAAAATTACTTAGCATATTTAAAGAAGTCCTGGGTCATTTTTTTTATTTTTTTTTTTTGCAATTGCCCTGTTCTTCTGAGCTTTCCCTGCAAACCATCCACACAGTTGACAATGTAGTGGGGAAAGTCAGTAGGTGACTCCAGCTCAGACAGACCCAACATAGTAGCATGGGTGAAGGTAAAATACTTTTTCACTTTTCACCTTTCCATCCATCCATCCATCCATCCATCCATCCATCCATCCATCCATCCATCCATCCATCCATCCACCCATCATGCTATGAGTAGATAAAGTCACTCCTCACATGTGTCACTCAAAACCCTGTGGCTTTGCAGCAGACAGAGGCTAAGAGCCAGTACCACTTGGGGAATACCTGGATGCACAGCACCTCTTGGAGAAGAGATCATGTGGAAATCAGAAGAAGCCTGAGCTAGTCAAACTGACCAGACATGAGTGTTGCTATAGAGGCAATACAATAAAAATGGATAAGCAGCAGTAGAGGAGGAAGGTGACATCTGTTTTAAGCTCTACCACAGTAAAAGATTCTCTTTTGGGCCACCATGATACCAGATCATGTCCCTGATCATGTCTCTTGGGTATAGCCCATAAAAGTGCTGAGATATCAGTGTATCTGTTCAGGAACCTCAGCCTCAATGCAGCACCACTCAAAGCAGACACGCTGCTGCTTAACCCTATAGATATCTCTGCTAGCCAGGGTAACACAAGTTCACCGTGAAGATAATTCATCCCATCCTATGTGACATGGCTAAGATCAGGGAGTAAAGGAGCTATTTGGAGGTGCTGCTGATTTTCCATTGACTGTAAGAGGAGAACAGGAGCAAATTCAGTTTTCTTAGAGCAGGCATAAGATACTGCTCTCAGTAACCAAGGACACTTTGCTGGACCCCTAGCTGCTGCAAAAGAAGGGCATGGGTGTCTTTTAGGTCCCTTGTCACATCTGCCAGCCCCACGTGGGTGTCTCAGATGAGGTATAACAGCTGGCACTCAGCCCCTCTTTTTGGCAATTCAATGAAGCCCTACCTTAGCCTAGGGTTTGGAGACAGCTCACCAATTCAGAGACCCAGCCTGAGATGTTTACAGGTGCACCAAAGGTTTAGCTCTCATGCTGGGCAAGAATGGAAAGAGTTATTTTGCTTGTCCTGAAGTAGACAAGTGTGGCTCAATTCATCAGCCAGACTGGAAGCAACTAGTGCT